CGAATCCTACAGCATCATGGGTGTGAACGGCCTCTGGACCGTAGTGCAACCCTGCGCGCGACCCACGAACCTCGCGACGCTCAACCGCAAGCGGCTCGCCGTCGACGCCTCGATCTGGATCTACCAGTTCCTCAAAGCCGTGCGCGACAAGGAGGGCAACGCCTTGCGCAACTCCCACGTCGTCGGCTTCTTCCGCCGCATATGCAAGCTGCTGTGGTTCGGCATCCGGCCCGTGTTCGTGTTCGACGGCGGCGCGCCCGCGCTGAAGAGGCAGACTATTAGGAGTCGGAAACAGAGGAGAGAGGGTAGGAGAGAAGATGCGGTGAGAACGGCGGGGAAGCTGCTGGCGGTGCAGATGCAGAGGATGGCGGAGGAGGAGGATGAGAAGAGGAAGAGGAGAGTAGAGCAGGGGAGACCGGAGAGGGAGGAGCCTGCCGAGGAGATTCCCGATGCTGAGAATTTGGTCTACGTGGATGAGCTAGGGATGAACCAAGCCGAACGCCAGAAAAACAGGAAGTTCTACAAGCAGGATGCATATCATCTTCCAGACCTAGATGGCGGCCTCCAAAACATGGGCCAGCCGGGTGACCCACGCATCATGAGTATTGAGGAGCTAGAAGAGTACGCGAGACAGTTTAACAGCGGTGAGGATATCAACATTTACGATTTCAGCAAGATCGACTTTGAGGGCGAGTTCTTTAGGAGCCTGCCGCCTGTCGATAGGTATAATATTCTTAATGCTGCCAGAATCCGAAGTCGATTGAGGATGGGTCTAAGCAAGGAACAATTAGATGGCATGTTCCCCGATAGGATGGCGTTCTCAAAGTTCCAGATCGAGAGAGTGCGAGAGCGCAATCATTTGACGCAGCGACTCATGCAGGAAGCCGGCATGACCGGAACTGATCTCACGCTGGCGAAGAATGCGCGAATAGCCGGGGAAAAGGACCGCGAATACATCCTAGTCAAGAATGATGGGGCTGAAGGTGGATGGGCCCTTGGTGTTGTAAGCAGAGAGAGAGATCGCGGAGAGATGCATAAGCCTATCGATGTGGATGCTCTGGATTTCCAATACCAGACTAAGGAGGAGGATGACGAGTGGGAAGATGAAGATGATTTTGAGGATGTTCCTATCGAAGGCGTAAACCGATTACCTAAAACTCGAGCTGACTCTCAAGCTTTCATTGACGAGGATGAAGATTCGCTTTTTGTTGGGGGAAATACCGCAAACGATCTTGATGATCTTTTCGAGGCGCAGAATGGGGAGGAAAATCTTCTCATAGATGATGAGGATGAGGATCTTAATCGAGCTATTGCTCTATCCCTTAGGAATCAACACGGAAAAACTTCACTAGAACACGAAGAGGTGGAAGAAGAGGAGGAAGCATTTGAAGATGTTCCTGCCCCCGAATGGACACAAAAAGCTGTTGTGCAATCAAAGCCAATCGCATCTACAAGTGGTAGCATGATTGCGCATATTGTGAACAATAGGGCCAATGCAGCTATATCGAAACCTGCACCTAGGCCTGTGCCAGAACGACGAAATAGTAATGAGAGCAGCGATAGCGATGTTGATCTACGAGCAGCCTTATCATCAAAGAGAAAGAAGAAGGCCCTAGTCTTCAAGCAACCTATTGCGCCTGCGGTTTCCAATGTGAAGAATCCGTTTGATGGACCTTTGCCGTTTGAGAAATTAGACTGGAAATCTAGCATTTTCTCAAAGAAAGATAAACAGGTGCCCGCTAAAGCCCCTGAGAAGGAGGTTAATATGGAACCAAACTCCGACGATGAACTTGCTGGTGGATTTGTGCGGGATGCTGATGAAGGTAAAGCACAGGAGAGCAAAGCGCAAGAGAACATAGATCATGGAAGCGAGGAAGCACGTCCACTCCCACCATGGATGATGCAGAATGAGTCGGATATCCGCGTGTCTCTCAAAGCTCAAAGAACAATTGAGAATGAAATTAACGAACAAGATCGAGAAGCCGCATTCGAGGAGGAAAAGAGACGACGCAAAGATGTAATAATCGAGATTGAATCTTCCGATGACGAAAGCGATGTTCAAATTATCGAAGCACCCCCGCAACCCCATCAGAAAAGTCCTGCGCATGCAGAGGAGAAGCCAAGTACACCACGGTTGTCTCCCGCCACCTTAATAAGAGTTGATCCCCCAATTGCGGACGAGGAAGATCAAATTGAGGACACGCGACACGCAGATGCTATACAAGAACAAATCACTTCTGAAGTAGAGGCAATGGATGATACAGTGCCTAGTGCAGAATCACGGTCCAAATCAGCCTCGCCAGACCCAGAATTCGAAGAAGTTGAGATTATGCAACCTCCGGATGAGCCCATTAGTAATGACAATATTGCTCAAGCAGAATCTCCAGAGCCGATATTCGAAGATATTGATGTTCCTGCACCGGAAGCCGTCAAAAAACCCGATACATCAGAAATTGCGGCTGGAGATGCCAATGAGGTTATTTTCGGTGATGACTTTGACGACAACGAATTCAGCGATCCCGAGGAAGAAGAGCTACTGGTTCAAATGGCGGAAGAAGCACAAGAACACGCGCGCTTCGCTAGTCAACTAAACCATAAATCCGAGAAAGAGAATCAGGAAACCTATGAGCAGGAACTCAAAGCGTTACGGTCACAGCAGAAGAAGGACCGGAGAGATGCGGACGAGGTCACCCAGGTTATGATCACTGAATGTCAAGCTCTATTGCGATTTTTTGGTATTCCCTATGTCACTGCACCAATGGAAGCCGAAGCTCAATGCGCCGAACTGGTAAAACTTGGTTTAGTTGACGGCATAGTGACAGACGACTCGGATACCTTCCTGTTTGGCGGCACGCGGGTGTACAAAAACATGTTTAATAGCAACAAATTTGTTGAGTGCTATCTCGGGTCCGATCTAGAGAAGGAACTCTCGCTCTCTCGCGAACAGTTGATATCACTTGCCCAATTACTGGGCTCTGACTACACGGAAGGTCTTCCGGGAGTTGGACCGGTGACCGCCGTCGAGATCCTCTCCGAGTTTCCCGGTAGGGACGGGCTCACGAAGTTTCGAGATTGGTGGCAGGACGTCCAGATTAACAGCCGGCCCAAGGAAGCGGACCAGAAGTCGGTGTTCCGGAGGAAGTTCCGGAAGTCGCAGGGCACGAAGCTGTTCCTTCCTCCCGGATTCCCGAGCCCGGCCGTGTTCGAGGCGTATCTGCGTCCGGAGGTCGATAGTGACGCAGAGCAGTTTCAGTGGGGTGTCCCTGACGTGGCAGGGCTGCGCCAGTTCCTCATGAGCACGATTGGGTGGAGCGAGGACCGCACCGATGAAGTTCTCGTTCCGGTGATTAGGGATATGCACCGTCGCGAGGCGGAAGGCACGCAGAGCAATATTACTAGATACTTCGAAGGGGGCGTTGGTGTTGGGGCTAAGGAGGCGTTTGCCCCCAGGCAGAGGGTCCAGGGGAGCAAGCGAATGGCACAGGCGGTTAACAAGCTTCGCGCGAAAGCTGTAGTTGATGGGAACGCTACTACTGCTACGGGAGCAGGTGACGATGCTGCCGCCGAGGACGAGAGTCTTGCTCCACCGTCCGGACGGCGGAAGAGGAAGGCTACAAATACGATTACGATTGATGACGATGATGATGACTACGTCGATGGCGAACCTACTGGGAATGGAAACGGGCAGGATAAGGATAAGGATAGCGGGAACGGCGTTCGGAAGGCTGCGGGCAGGCAAAAGGGCAAAGGCGTGAAGAGGGGGAAGAGGGCTAAGGCGTCTACATGAAACTCTTGTTCTTGATATACCGCCATATATAATTGGTTGTTACAGAGCATAGTGCCTTGCGGGTTGGAACTGCGAGACACTTGTAAATGTTAATTGGAAAGTCGTCTGTATAATGCTATAGGATGACGTCTGCCCCCTTAACGAGATCTCCCCGATTGATACGTGCTGTAATATGACATTAGAGAATTCGGGACTTGCCTTTAGGTTGACAACGACATATAGTGTTAGAAGATTCTAGCTATGGAAGTCTTCCAAGCTCCCAATACGACATATTTCTAATAATCATTGTTTAGGTATACAGCATCCAACTCTATGTGCCTCGGACAACAAATAGGGGTGAGTGTGGGGGTGTAACTAATTCGCTTGTCCTTACTACTACGCGCATCACATCCAACACCCACGATATAAATGACAAAAAAAATCGACCCGGGAATTATCAACTAAGGCATGTGTCAAGACCTAATAAGGCGGGAAGAGAAGTTTAAAAGATCTTGTTTCCAAGCAACAAAGGTCACTGCACTTTATACTTTGCACCCAAACCTGCATTGATCACCGCCTGCCCAGTCCGAAATTTTGGCGGTTGGCTGATTACGCCCCTCCCAAAACTTTTATAAATACCTGGCCTCCCTCCTAGTTTTTCGATCTTTTTTCTTCCTTTCTTCTTCATACTTACCTTGTTCCGCGCACCTCAGCTCAAGCATCGGGGTTCGCATGGGGAGAGACCTGCATTGCACATCGCGGAGTCGACCCTCTTCTATTATCCCTCGTGGATCGTAGGGAGCGCAATTTTTGATTTCATAAACACTGGTTTTCGTTATGGTCGATGCCTTGAGCATTGCCATGAGGAAGATGCAATATGATTAACTCCACGTGCCATTAATTATGGACAATACAATATTGCATCGAACTACGAATATCTATCTATCTAGATGTAGAGTTGGTAACCAGGCGTGCAAGGCTCCTAAACACCAAATTTAAGACAACTACACTATTAGAACTATGCATTCACGTTGACAAGTGAGATATTACCATCGCATTTGTCCTAATTATCTCCTAAAAAAAATCCCGTGGTTCGCCCAAAGCCTGTTTCTTCAGCCTCGTACGTACACGCAATGTAATTCTAGTTATTCGGCTCAACAACAACAAAAATAAAAATAATTCAAAATAATTCAAAAAGCAATGGGAAGGAACTCACGTAGTTCCTTCCTGGTTTTGATCGACGCAGGGATCGAACCTGCGACCTTCTGTGTACCTATAATCTACTATCGTGATGTGTTATACACCAGACATGTGTAAATTGTAAGACAGACGTGATAACCACTACACCAGTCGACCCATAGATGGTCCAAGTCTACTAGAGACTTGAGCCAGTTCTGGAATGGGAAATTCGGCCGTTACTCTCCAATAAGTATGTGGAATGACTAGATACGGTACTACACAGTTAGTGTTAGGTAAGTTGGGATGGCTGGCTGGCTAGCTAGCCTCAAAGTTCAGACTATGAATAGCTACGGCCCTATGATAGGTAAAAACAATTCCGGACCTTTAATCTAATCATCTTAACTTCAATGGCTTGAAATGTTTGATCACCTGTAGAGTTACTAAGGCCACAACTATATACCGAGTGGTACATTGTTTGATCAAGCACGAGTATGTTTTCAGGCTAAGGCGAGCGTATTGTACTGAAAAAGAACATGGAATTTAACCTTGAGATGTGTTTAAGGCAAATACTGAGGCACCTTAGATACTATGAACCTCGCCCAAAAGATGGTGCGCCGACTATAAATTTACTTAGCAATGAAGTCAATGTAGACTACCTCCCTTCCAGTCCCTTCCGTATATCAATTCGCTCTTTCCCTCTGTGATGCCGTCGAACTCGATTGAATATTACGGCGAAGAAGGTGCGGTCCATGCCGGTGCGGAAGGTACATACATAGGTACCTATCGATAAGAAACCGAGATTGCAAACTGTAGGTAGGTGTGCGCGAGAACTTTCAGCCAGCTGGAATTGAGCCTAACCTAAAATATTAGCCCACTAAATATTGCGGCATCGATCCATCGTAAGAAAAACCATGCGAAATACGGCTGCCAGAACCCTTCTGCGGCAGAGCATTGCTCGTCCTGAGCTCTCCAGAGCGTCGGTCATCCCAATTGACCCAATTGACGAGAGAACTACGTAGACTGACCCTCACCGAAGCAGCCAAGATGTAGTTCTCCGACCGCGCCTCGCAGCGACCGGCCAGAAACTTTTCCCTCGACAATGCCTTCGCCAGCTCTCCGCCCCGAGCCCGTCCCTGCTCCTCGGCCCGCGCGCCTTCCACACGTCGGCGCAGCATTGTAAGGCCAAGCCCCGCGAGGTCAGCAAGGGCAAGCAGAACAGGCCGGCCCCGCCCCCGCCCCCGCCTCCATCCGACGGCGGCGGCGGCAGCAGGCACCCGGCGGCGAACGGCGAGTCGCCGCTCGACTTCGCGGACGTCGAGTCGCGGGTGCAGTGGCAGAGCGAGCACTTCACGGCGGTGATGAAGAAGCTGCGGTCGGGGGGCCGGTTCAACCCGGACGTGGTGGGGGCGCTGCGCGTGCAGCCGGACCGCAAGGAGAGCGCGACGTACCCGCTGAAGGAGCTGGCGGCCATCGTGCCGCAGGGCGGGCGCGCCATCTCGATCCTCGCGCACGAGGAGGCCTACGTCAAGCCCATCATGAGCGCCGTCCAGGCCAGCGCCGACTTCAACCAGCAGCCGCAGCGCGTGCCCGACAACGACCTCGAGCTGCTCCTCAAGATCGAGCCCGAGAGCAAGGACGACCTGCTCAAGCGCGCCAAGGCCACCTTCACCGAGTGGCGCGACAGGCTCCGCAGCATACGCCACAAGCGCGACAAGACGCACACCACCTGGCTCCGCGGCAACGTCATAGGGCCCGATCTCAAGCGCACGGCTGACAAGGAGCTCGACAAGCTCATCAAGGCTAAGATGACGGAGATCGACAGTGCCGAGAAGGATATACTTAAGGCTGTCAAGTCAGAGTGAGGTCGGAGATAGCTGGAGATTTAAACGTTTTGCTGTGTAGGTAGGTATCTTAGGAAGCCAGAATGCGCGTGAAAAAGTGCAGAGAGCAGACAATCAATAAAAAAAGGTCGGTACAACAGTCCATGGAAATGTGCATGTATTTGCGTAATATAGATGTACACTAGACCGTATGTGTTTTGTTTTTTACAAGCGTCTCCTCTCGTGACGGTATAGAGAAGACCTAGAGCTAGAATCCAGAGCTACCTTTTCGAACTCTACGCATCTTCGTCTTGGTAGAGCAGAACTCGGGTATAGTTAGACGTAATCTAATCCCCAAGTCATCAAGCCTTAGCCTCCTCCGCACTTTCACCTGTACTCTTAGCAGGTTGGCCGAGCAGGCTGCGAACCTTGGCCTCGATACCCCGTCCGGCAGCCGCGTTCCACGTGGCATCCCTCTTGACGTAGCTCGCCAGGGTGCCGAGCGCGTCCTCGGCGTACTTGGGGCCGTCGTACCTGCCCAGCACCGCGTCCTCGAGCACGGCGGTCTTGACCTCGGGCGGGGCCTCGATCTTCTTCTCGGTGGAGACGCGCACGCCGTCGACGACCTCCTTGTTCCTGAAGATCTGGCTCGCCCACAGCCGCGCGTCGTCGGACGGGGGGACGAACATGCCGGTGCCGTTGGCGTAGCGCTCGCGCAGGATGATGGGGTCGACGAGGTGCTGCGGGTGGAAGTTGTTGCCGCCGCCGAGGATGCGCGCCTGCCGCAGGACGGCCTCGCTCTGGCCGAACGGCGTCGCCGACGTCGCCAGGCCCGGGCCCCAGCCCGCGAGCGACTCCAGCGAGAGCTGCGGGTTGAAGCTGATGGTCTCTCCTATCTCCTTCGGCTCGAGGTACGCCTTCACCTCGTCGGAAGAGCCGATGAGGTCAATGTCCTCCTCCTCATCCTGATCCTGCCCGCGGCCGCGGCGGCCCCCCTGCCGACCGTCGGCTGACCCGCGCCTCCCTCGCCCGCGGCGCGGTCGGTCGTCTCGACCCCCCGGCCGTCGGGGCCAGCTCCCGCCACCCTCACCCCCAAACCCACCACGGCCAAATGAAGGACCGCCTCTGTCCCCGCGGCCGCGGAACCCTCCCCTAATAATATTCGGGCCGGGGGCTCTCTGGATAGTATTTTCGCCCTCGCCGGGCGCCTGTTTCCATCCAGGCCCAAAACCCACCCTCTGGACCCCCCTGAATCCGGGGGGCGTAGTAATAACGTTCGAGCTTGAGCCCCGCCCCAGGCCCAGTGGTTGTCTGATCGAGGGTTCTCTAATAATTCTGGGCCCCGGTCTCTGGTCGCGCACGTCCGCCACCGTAGCCTCCGCCGTCATTATTAGCTCTCTTACGGCGGCGACGCCGCGCTGGCGACCGGTGAGTTTGTCACTGTTGCTATTGCCATCGTCGTTTTGGTCTGGTGTGCACCGTTGCGCAGAGATGGAGAATTGCCGTAGTGAGGCCGCGATTCCCTCTGCGACTCGATTGATATCTGGCCTCGTTCGACCGACGGCCGAATTTATCGGATGCCGGATCATCGTGGGATCGGCTGTGGTGTGAGTTGTTGGAAGTGAATTGAGGCTCTAGAAAATTTCGAGGTTTCGATAACGAACCATATTCTCCGAAGCTTTGGCGGAGTGGGCGATTTATTCATTTATCGAGTGTGCATTTAAGCGGGGTTCATATATGAGGAATATTGGCTTATACATGATTATGTAATTCGCTTTCTCCTATTTGACATAAGCACATTGAAATATCAGCATTTCTATTGTCGCATGAATTGCAGTGTACAAAATTTATTGATTTCTTCGAATTAGAAAGTCGTCCAATTTCCTTTTTCTACTCATTAACGCCCTGTCTAGATTACATCGTAAAAAGCCATTCAACTTTGCAACGGCTTGTCCATGCCTCCCCATGTTATCGTCTTGATGTTCAAGTATTCGTCGATACCGTACTTAGATCCTTCTCTTCCAAATCCAGATTGCTTGACGCCACCAAATGGCGAGGCAGTGTCGGAGATCAGACCAGTGTTAACACCCACCATTCCAACTTCTAAAGCCTCGGCCACTCTCGTAATACGCTCTAAGTCTCGCGAGAAGAAATAGCCTGCTAGACCAACCTCGGCGGCGTTTGCTAGGTCGACAACTTCCTTTTCTGAAGCGAACGGGAATAAACCGGCAACAGGTCCGAAAGTCTCCTCACCCGCAATAGCCATATCCTTTGTCATGCCCGTGATAACAGTAGGTTGATGGAAGTTAGACCCTATGTCTGGCAACTTTTGCCCACCAACAACAACTTTAGCTCCCTTCTTTACGGCATCCTTGATGTGAGCCTCTACTTTCGAAATGGCCCGCTCGTGGATCAGAGGTCCGTGAGTGATACCCTCCTCAAATCCGTTGCCAACCTTGAAGCCCTTGACCTTCTCGGCGAATTTCTTGGCAAACTCGTCGTAGACACCCTTTTGAACATATATCCTGTTTGCGCATACGCAAGTTTGTCCAGATGAACGGAATTTAGAGGCGATGGCGCCTGTGACCGCTGCATCGACATCGGCGTCGTCAAACACAATGAATGGTGCGTTGCCTCCTAGCTCCATAGATAGGATTTTCAAAGTCGGAGACGCCTGGTTCATAAGGAGGCTACCCACGCCCGTCGATCCGGTAAATGAAATCTTCCGTACGGCAGGATGAGTTGCCAGCGTCTTTCCAACCTCGGGTGTGTTTTCTAGGGTCGTGACGAAGTTGACAACACCTTTCGGAATTCCAGCCCGGTGCGCCAACTCGGCCAAAGCCAGAGCCGTGAATGGCGTCTCTCCCGGGGTCTTAACAACAACAGTGCAACCAGCCGCCAGGGCAGGGCCAAGCTTTCTCGTAACCATCGCGGCAGGGAAATTCCACGGCGTGATCAATCCACAAACGCCAACAGGCTGCTTGATAGTTATGACTCTGTTTGCTGCTACTGAAGTTGGGATGGAATCGCCGTATATCCTTGGCGCCTCCTCGCTGAACCACTCGAAGAAACTGGCGGCGTAATTCACCTCTCCCTTCGCGTCGGCGAGCGGCTTTCCATTCTCCCACGTGATCAGTTTGGCGAGGTCATCCGCATTCTCAATCATAAGATCGTACCACTTGCGCAGCAATCTGGCCCTCTCGCGGCCGGTTTTCGTCCGGAAGCTAGGAAATGCCGCGGCGGCTGCTGTGATGGCAGTTTCGGTGTCCTTGCCAGTGAACTCGGGAGAGGTCCCTACGAGTTCGCCCGTAGCAGGGTCATAGACTTTAAAAGTCTTACCCGACGCAGCTTTGACCC